CCCCCCCCACTGAGTCAGACCAGGAGTTATGCTGCATCTTTTTTTTCCCCCTTCGTCCTAAACCTTTTTGCTGCTTATCAAATAACTTTGAGCATCGGTCAGAAAAAAGACAAGGGTTTTATTTTTCTGGCCCGAGAGGAGGAAGCAGATGAAGGACTGAAGTACTTTTTTTCGCCACGGGACGCGTTTCCTCCTCGCGACGTGGCTCGCATCAAATCCGTCATTTAAAATAATTAAATGTAGCATTTACTTTTTATTATAACTTCGGATCTACTTGGCCTAACAACACGATTTATAAACTGGTTTAAAGTTCAAAGTCTCTACTTTTCACTGGTCTCGGAGAGGGCGGCTCTTTACAGGTAGAGTCTTTTTTCTTCCTAAACTTTATTTAGGTCAGCCAGCATTGACAACGCTCTGCGGGTGACGTAAACGGCTCCGCGACACTGCGAGGGACGCATAAATCACGTGACACAACGAATCGATAATGAAATTTGTTGCCAACGCTTTTAATAATCGATTTTTATCAATTTTATCGATTTGTTGTTGCAGCCCTACAACCAATCAACTTTATTTGTACCCACATATACATTTGATAATTGGATGACTAGCCTCATAAAGAGATGAAGATGTGTTAAAAATATCTGTAAAGACTTCGAGAACCCGTCCAGGTTGACTAATTTGTTAGTTTTACTATTAGGCTTATTTGTTAAATTAATTTTAATTTTTGCTCTAATCATTCCAGTTTAACATCTCATTTTTATCACTTTCAGCCAATTTTAGTAAAGMCACACAGCGTTCAAAATGAACTTTCAATCCAAAGGAACCTGTGAATGTGTGTTTATTACATGTTGCAGGTACTCTACAGCCTGTGCTGAGTCCAACTACACAGACCGAGACACAGACAGAGAAGACCCGGAGCAGGAGTCTGAGGAAGAGGAGGAGGAGGAGGAAGACCGAAGCTGTGCCACCGTCCTCACCCTCCGTCAAGAAGAATCCCCAGAGGAAGACGAGGAGGATGAGGATGAGGGGAGGCTGCAGCTGGGGCCTGAGGTTCCTAATGGAGAGCTGGCTCTCCTCTTGGCTCAGAGTGACATCCTCCACACAGGAGATGCAAGTTTAAAAGCGAAGGGTTTTCGCCTGCTGCTGGAGAACAGACCAGAGGTGAGGAAGTGGTCTCCTACTGGTCTTTGTGGGAGACCAATCATTCCCCTGTGGGAATTACTTCTTACAATGTAGATGTAGGTAAAGGGTGCAGCAGGTCTGAGGTTTCTGGTTTCCAACATAATGTATTGATGAGAATTTGAACCACTTGGCGTGTAAATGTTTAATCTTTAGGTGTTTGTTTTTTCAGGTTAAAATGAGTTAATCAGGACACTAGTCCATTCAAATGTAGTTTCAGTCACATTTTTTTTCTGCTMACTGTTTTAAATACTAAATGGCCTGAACTTGTATAGAGTTTTATCAAGTCCAAGAACTCCAAAGCGATTCACACTACAGGTAATTACCCAGTCACACACTAATGGTGGTAAGCTACACTTTAGCCACAGCTGCTCTGCAGACTGACAGACGTGAGGCTGCCATTCGCCGGTGACACCAGACCATTGATATATATTACTGGATTGGGCGTGGCTAGCGCATTGCTAGCTACGTTGACATGCACACACTGGACATCTGTTCTGCATTGAGGAGCCTCAACAAAATGAATGGAGATCAATGGACTGTGAGGCGTCATCCTGATGAAAAACTCTTATAACTTCTTTATTTCTTGCTCGATTTTTACAAACTATGGTTCAAAATAAAGCTGAGGAAATTGTGAATTTTATAATTATGGAAATTTAAAATAGATAACAAATTTAAATGACTAAAACATTGGCTTAAACTAAGTATTTTGCGTTTCACAGGTGTTTTTTCATACAAATCCATGAGTTCTGACCAGCTGGATATTCATATATTTATTAATCAGAACTGAGACTTAAGACATTTAAAAAGATAAAATTAATCTTTCAAGTCTGTCTATATATATATAGACA